TGTACCGCAAGGTTCTATTCTGAGTCCTTGCCTGTTTTTGGCATATATTAACGATTTGCAGTACTTTATCTCTAAATTTTGTAAAATAGTATAATAATTTGTAGATAATTTCTAATTTTTAATATAGATAGAAACAAAACTAACTTACAAACTATGCTCTTTCCAAAAACCTCGTTTAGACTTCGAAAAACTTACAATTCATTTATGGTACAAGGTATTCGATTTTACAACAAGATACATGATTCATTAATTAACTTGCATGTATTTAAAAAAGTATGTCAAAGTAATTTGATTACAAAATGGATCTCATTTATAGCCTGGATGTTTGACGGTCCAACATTGTACGTTTTATTAGGAGTTTTCTTCCTCGCACGACTTATTTGTGGAATTGTTTACCACCGGCAATATTTCCGGACCGGACCGATACGACTTAGGGACCTTTTAGAAACGAGCTTACTCCTTTTTAAAAATCCGACAACGCACCTGCAATTCCCCCGTTGTTGCAGTTGTTCGTTTACATTATATGATAAAAACGCATGGTCATTTCAAAGTCGACAAGTTCCCCACAGAGAACTTTAAATAAGTGGTATTGTAGTGTTATTAGTAATTAAATTATATGTTATACATCTATTTATATTCTTATTGTTAATATATATCTTTTTGTATTTTTTTGTATTTGTTTATTTAGGTATTTTTTAGCGCTTACGAGTGAGCCTATCACTCGCAAGCGCTAAAAGAATACCTAACACAAGAAAACACAAATAAAAGTAATGACTGCCCATGTCACAGTGCCGGGGAATTCTACTCGGCTGGGCAGCGTCCAAAAAATTACGACACATCTTCCCGTCAGACATACCTTAAAACTTCAAAACAAAATTGTACAACCAGTGCGCGTTGCTAGTGATGACATATGATGATCGGGATCATAGTTGTCTAAATGGCTTCGTCTTATGGCTAGACACATTAAACATAAAATATTGGAGTTTTTGTAAATCATAGCCTGCCTTTAATTTACCTACTCCACGTGTGGCAGGCTAAGAGCAATAAAACTGAATGGACTTTTACTAACAGATCAAAAGCAAAAGAAAAAAAATTAAATTAGCAATCATTTTAAACGTTATACCTATACCATTTTTTGCGTTGAATCCAACGCTGGTGTTTTTGTTCACGATCACAGATATGTGAGATTTCGTGAGTCATTAGAGCATCAAAATTGCCTTTTTTATTGCGTTCCGGCTGTACGTAGCATAATCACACTACCCCATTATTTTTATTTTAATACTCCTATATTCAGTAAATGAACGAAAATGCGCAAATTTGAATTTTTTGTGGTAGTTAAGTGTTTTTTTTTGTTAAAAGGCTGATCTTTATTTGTGCTGAAATTGTAGATATCGTTTATTTACAGGTTTTTAATTAGGAAGCAATTTCTATATTATTAATATTTGTAATATGCGGCTACGAAGGGTTATTATAATATTAAGGAATTTATGGATGATAATAACCCCTGGAAATGAGGTGATCGCTACCAAGCTATTTCTAATTTGTTGTGTTGTTAATTTGTGTAACATCATGATTGTAAGCTGTAATTTTAAAAAAAAGTCCCGCTGGGTTTCTTGCTGGTTCTTCCCAGGACAGAGGTTTTTTCCGAACCAGTGGTAATGAAACAAAAGAGTGACTTTCAATAAGTATTATTTATAATCTATATTGAATAAAAAAGTTTCTGTTTCTGTTTCTGTTTCAAAGAAGCGCACAGTAGCTCACTTTACATCGCCTATCAAACTGCAAATCCAACATTGTGTAAATTAATAACCGGCCAAGTGCGAGTCGGACTCGCCCATGAAGGGTTCCGTACCATCGTAATACACGTTTATAGTAGGGTAGCCCCTTTTAATTTTTAATTTATTTTAATTTTTATATTAGAAATACACTTTCTGTGAAAATTTCAACTGTGTATCTATTACGGATCATGAGATACGACCCGCTGATAGTCAGACGGACGGACGGACAGCGAAGGCTCAGTAATAGGTGGTTTGGTGGGTTACCCTTTAGGTACCAAACCCTAAAAATGAAATATTATAATGACGTGACGTCTGGGAATACGCATATCAGTCTTAACCGAAGAAGACGAAGCTCAATACCACACAGCTGGAAATCCAACAGGATGAGTACTTGTAAAAATTTCAAGTTACTAACATTTCGATTACTATTTTACTGGCGTATTCGAATATCAATTTAGAATTATTAAGCAGAATTACAATGTAATGACGGCGTAAGAGAATCCACTACATCATATCAACCTGTGGTTGATGAGAAGGTGGGCAGTAGCTTCTTCCTCATAACAACAATAATAGCTCCTGCAAACGCGGCAACTATGTCAAATGTGAGGCAGTCCACGGAGTCTTATGTTTAGCAGTGGTCTTTTGACAGGTTGTAATGAATGAATGAAAAAAACTAAATAGCGAGCCATCATACATACTTGCATAAAATCTCTATTAAAAATCTAATTTGGAGAAAAATTTCCACCCCTAAATGTAACAAATAAATAACTTCTTTTTTTAGCAATTTGCAGTCTGTTTTTACTTTTAGTTAAAAATTATAATTATTACACAGCATATAGTGTTGATTTAACAAAAGAATAAAATGTCTACGACAAGATATATTAAAATAATATAAAAAAAAATATATAATGTAAACACGGCCTGCCCTAGCTATAATGTATCACTTTGTGTAATATTTATGATATCTATATAATAAAAACTAAAAATAAATAAAGCCTGTATATATTATATAAAAATAAATTATGATAGCTATGCGCATGTCGCCGGCATAGCATCAGAAATCACAATGTCCTAAAAACTAACACTTAAGCTTTTTCTGCACCTAACTTCTTGTGACAATTAGAAAATTACGCGACAGTTGGAATCGATCACAACAAGAACGTTATCAAAAAGGTTAAAAGCAAATGATCCTTCGAAATCGCTGGACGATACTTAATGAAGTTATGTGATGGTTTTACCTGGATAGTTTTCCGATAGTTTTAAAAACTAGTAATTTTATAGATTTTAACATGCTCTTTCCGAATTTCTACTTTGCCATCTCGTATCTTAGCCGTTCGCGCCGCCAGTTTGAAAAATGGCGCCTCAAAATAGTTTTTTGACAATATTTCCTTTCTGAGTTATTTTACAATAAAACATTTAGTATAATAAATTAAGTAAGAGACAATACAAATTTTTATTTTTGTTTAGCGTATAACCGCCGCAAAATCTACTTCAACATGCGTTTTGGCAAAAAAAAAAACAATTCATTTCCACACCATCATAAGGTAGAGTGACTGGCGAGTTTTTTATCGTGGTGTCCCCAGTAGGCCTAATCCACATGCAATGCACTATTCCTCAAGATGACATTATTGATGAAAATCAGTATTTTGAACTTGCTAAAGCTCGTAATGATGATTGGGGTCGAGTGATTGTTAAGCGTCTCGAGCATGTTAATGACTTGGTTGCAGCCGATGCATAGCATAACTCATGCATGAAAAAAATGTACCAAGCACCACCGACTGAAGAAATTAAAAACAGAAGTGCGTATGCAAACAAGACTGATACTGCGATGCAGTATATTTACGCTTATCTCGCAGAATTCCTAAAAGTGATAGTTTGCTCTGGACGAACTGATGACCAAAATTGAAGGTGATTTTGGTCATCACACATAAAAACGGTGAAAACACTACACCTCTAAAAATATCTTCTTATCTTAGTTATAAAAACGTTACCCCCACACTAGGATTTTCTCCTGTATCGTGGAGGCAGTTTACAAACACAAATTTCACAAGGACAAACATCCAGACCCGGAACAATCATTTGTAGGCCATACAAATACTTGTTCCGTGCGGGATTCGAACCCGCGCCCCCCAGCGCAGCAACTCATTGCTAAGCCACTGCGCCACGGAGCCGTCTATATGGTAATGATATTTTTATTACCGACATTGCCAATAAGGATTCTGTAATTTCTTTCCGAAACACAGGGTTTAAGTTATTGACGGAAGCCTGGTACAACCAATAAAGCGACAACAAAACAGAAGAACGTCCCACTTTTATGGGAAAAAGACATAGCTACGTTTCTTGGTCTGCCGGATGCTGAGTATTATACTGGGCACAGCTTCAGAACGACTTCTGCTACATTATTGGCAGATTCAAGAGCCAATTTGACGTCCTTAAAGCGGCTAGGAGGTTGGAAGTCAGACAAAGTTGCAGAAGACTATATTGCTGATTCATTAAACAACAAACTAGAAACTGGGAAAAAATCACATAATCCATTAATTTAAAGTCCAGTCCGTCTCCTGCACATGACAATACTGAAGACAACGTTCGTCCATCTACCTTCGTTGATAATGATAATTCATCAGATCCACTTCCATCCACTAGCAAACGCAATTGTATAACACCTTTGACAAATGTACATGAACAATCATACGAAATTAATAATAGTTTGTCTCAAACAGTAAATATGCAACCTAAAACTTCCCAAGTTAGTATAAAAAACTGTACCAATTTTAATGTAAATGTGAATTATAACTTTTATAAGAAATAAATGATTAGTTAGTTGAGTTTATTGTGTTTTTACTATTTTATTAAATTGCTTAATTTTTTCTCAACTGTATTAAAAATAGTTGTTCAGTACATGTGCGGAACTGTCATTGCAACTTGTTCCGACTGTCAACCCTCACTTTCGGCTGCACCTCGGCTCGGGTAGACATTTGTCGGAACTCTTTGCAATGACAGGTTTTCCACACTCGTAAATAAATATACTATTTATGGATTTTATCGCGTATAATTTTACTTATTTTTAATTCCCTACGTTTAGGGTGCTGTAAAGCACTGACCATCTTATAATTAAAAATATAATATTTCTACGTGTAGTGTTCGCGTAAATATAAGAAATCATTATATTATTTGACTATAAAAAAGTTTCCATATATCTAATAGAATGTTTTGGTATACCAGGCGGCAGCACAAAACGGCCACGTAGAAGTGATACGCGCTCTAGTGGAGGCGGGCGCGGAAGCGGATGCGGAAGACCGGGACGGCGACCGCGCAGCTCACCATGCGGCGTTCGGCGACGAGCCGGCCGCGCTAAGAGCGCTTGCGACCGCCGGTGCGGATCTAAACGCGCGCAACCGCCGCCGTCAGACGCCCCTACATATCGCCGTCAACAAGGGCCATCTCGGCGTCGTTCGTACGCTGCTCCAACTTGCGGTGCACCCCAGTCTCCAGGTAAGTTACAGTTTTTCAGCAAGGGAAGGAAGAAGATACAATAACCAATGTCGTTCCGTCTACGAAAATATTCCGTATTGGTATCAGCGCAACTTATATTGATGCGTCGTAAACGTTATGTTTATCGTGTGAAACCTTAGAATATGTTTATATCCAGCAGTGGATTGCCTCAGGCTATTACTGGTGATGATGACGGTGAAGCGTAATGTCCGTGTTATCAAAAGTAAGATCGGAGTTAGGGGGTATATATAGATACACGAAATCAATCACTAAACGAGCAGAACCGAAAACCACTAATTTGTGTTTTTGCACCAATTCTGGCTTCGCTGGAAATAAACTGCACTTTGACCAAGGTGACGCGGTCATCTTTTGCTGCATACATAAGTGTTGCAGAGGACACGGCTAGGTTAGAAAGTGTGAATGTTTATCTTACTTTGTGTATTTTTTTATAGGAGAGGGGGCAAACGAGCATTCGGCTCACCTGATGGTAAGTGACTACCGCCAGAACTCAACAAAACTAGTGTTCCTTCTCCTTCATCAACATCTCCACTAGCTACAGTCTTTGAAAATTTTAAGACTTTTGTTATTTCCGCGCTCCAAAACTTACAGCAGCAAGTTCAAATGGTCTCAAAAGACTGCGATCGGTTGGAGATGCATAATCGTCGCAGAATCTTGCTGATCCATGGTGTACCCGAAGATAAAAATGAAGATGTTGCTGAAACTGTCATTAAGTCACTACAGCAGACCAAAGTGTTCATAGCTCAGGAAAATTTAAACCGGTGCTTCAGATTGGGTAAAATTAAGGACAAACCCAGACCTCTTTTAGTGGAGTTTAAGGATCTTGGGCTTCGTCACAAAGTCTGGACTTCAAAAACAAATCTTAAAGGTACTGGAGTAACCTTGTCCGAATTCCTTACAAAAGTTAGGCATGAAGCTTTTCTAGCAGCTCGCAACCGCTTCGGAATATCGAAATGCTGGACAAGGGAAGGCTGTATTTATGTTTTAACAGAAGACGGGGTACGGCATTCCGTGTTCACTGTTGCTGATTTACAGTCCATCCAATCACCGTCATCATCAAAGCAGAACCAAGATGGTGCTAAATCTGCCGAAAAAACCAAGCCAACTAAAACTCGGAGTCGCGTTGCGGCCCGTAAGTAATTACAGCTTCCGCAACCTTTATTAATTTTCGTTAAATAACGACTTTAATTTGTGTAGTAATTTTTGTTATATTTTAATGTTTTAGTACCCTTTAATTTGTTTATTTTTGATGCGTATGTATCATGACAGACTGTTGTTCATATATTTGTTATTGTTTTTTTTTTTTTTTTATTACTATAACTGGTTTTACGGCTCTGGGTTCTAGCCCCTCTGAGCCTATATTTTATTGTTATTTGTTACCGTCACAGACTACGATCAGAGGATACTACGCATGTTGCCATTGATCAGATATTATAATATACTCTATAGCTACATATTTATTTATCTATGACTGGCTAGCACTTGTTATTCGTTTGTGGTTAATTCTGAATAAACATTTTTTTTTCTAATCTATGGCACACATACGTGATGCATACGTGTATGTCACCTTAGCATAGACATGTCATGTCTTTCATGTCCCGTTTCAACCACGGAATATAAAAAATAAAATTGTTTTTTATATTCCGTGGTTTCAACTTAGATCTACTTAGTTGTCAGTTATGAATATTTTTTTGTACGTTTTTTAATTAACTATTATTAATTAAATATTATTCATATTTTAGTGTTGCTAGTCTGTCGGCATAAGTATTTGTAGTACATTTTGTTAGTAGAATTGTCGCATTTCATTGATAATTATAGTGTTAATAAACGATTATTATTTTTGTATCATATGTACTGCTGGTGGGTGAGTGTGTATTGTGATACGTAAATTATTTAAGTAATTAACATATTTAAATATTTATAGGTGTATATATTATTTATATTCATATTTTTTATCTTAATATTATTTTTATAGTTATTTAATAAGTATTATTTTATTTGAATAATTATGATGAATATTTCCCTAAATGATATTTACTTAGGCTCTAGCTCTTTCGAGACTTGTTCCTCGGGTACTTCAGATGACGGAGATGACAGTTTCCACAGTACTCTCTCTCTCAATTCTTCCTTAGATACTTGCTTCTTAGATTGTGCTAATAATTTCAATGTAATTCACATAAATGCTCAGAGCATTCCCGCTCACTATCCTGATATGCTGACAAGCTTAAACCACAAAAACATTCATGCAATTCTGGTCTCTGAAACTTGGCTAAAACCGTGTTTACCATCCATTTCTTATGCAATTCCAGGTTTCCATTTATTGCGAAATGACCGACCCGTCAAAACTGGTGGTGGGGTTGCCATATATCTTCGTAAAGATATTCGTTACTCTATAGCCAGCATATCGTCCACCACAATTGTTGATAGTGCAGCAGAACATCTTTTCATTGAAGTCACACTTTCTTCCTTCAAAGTGCTCTTAGGCGTCGTTTATAGTCCCTCTAGCTCTGTTAATTATTTTTCTGCCTTTGAAAAAACTTTGGAAGAATTGGTTCCGACATGTAAACATGTTATCATTATGGGTGACTTCAATACGTGTCTTCTCAAAAATGATGTCCGTTCAAAAAAATTGAAGTCCGTAGTTGACTCATGTAATCTTCACATCTTGCCTTCTAATCCTACCCATTTCTTCCCTAATAGTGCCCCTTCTCTTCTAGATTTAAAAATCGTTTCCTCTCCAGAATACATATACAAACACGGGCAGTATACTGCCGATGCTTTTTCTTACCACGATTTGCTGTTTTTGTCATATAAATTACGATCACCAAAAGTCAAGTCCCGTGTTCTTCTGCTGCGTAATTTTGCTAGAATGGACGTCGACCGTCTTAAAGATGATGCTGCCAGTATAAACTGGTCGTTAATTGATGAGAGAACAGATGTTGACGAACAAGTGCGTCTTTTAAATGCCTTTATAATGCAACTTTATGACAAGCATGCACCTTTACGACCAATCAAACTTAAGTATCCGCCTGCTCCTTGGCTCACAAAAGAGATTAAAGATTTAATGACAAGAAGAAACCTAGCCAAAGCCAAATTTAAAAAGAACCCCTGTAATATAAATCATGAGAAATACAGGATACTTAGGAATCGCTGCAACACGATGTGTAGAGATGCGCAACGACGTCACATTCACAAGACAATTGAGGAATCTGATCCCAATAGGGTTTGGAAATTTCTTAAAAGTTTGGGAATTGGCAAAAAGCGAAATGACTCCCTTCCTCCTGATTTAAACTTTGAAATGCTTAATCAATACTTTTCCTCAAGTTCTAGTTACGTTAACAGTTGTAAATCTAGGACACTAAATCACCTTCATTCTTTGCCAACTCCCGATTTCCCCGAATTCGTTTTATGTCAGGTTGCTGATTGTGACGTTAAAAAGAATATCACAGCTGTAACTTCTAATGCAATTGGTAATGATAATGTCAGCCGAAACATGATTCTCCCGCTCTTAGATCTATTAACTCCTATCATAACTAAAATTTTCAACAATTCTATAAATACAGGAACTTTTCCTACTCTATGGAAAGATGCTCAAATTATTCCACTACCCAAGAAATCAAATCCCAAGTCCTTCTGTGATTATCGTCCTATTTCCATATTACCTTTTCTTTCTAAAATTCTTGAGCGTCTTGTCCAACAGCAACTTAATCTATTTCTTAATCAAAATAACCTCTTAAATACATTCCAATCAGGCTTTCGTCCTGGCCATAGCACGGTCACTGCTTTGGTTAAAATCACAGACGACATTCGGGCAGGAATGGAGAATCGGCAAGTTACTATTCTTACTCTTCTTGATTTCAGCAACGCCTTCAACACAGTCGATTTTGATATACTTCTAGCTGTGCTCCGTTCTATTAACGTATCTCCAGCGGCAACTGACTGGTTTCGTAGTTACTTGTTTGGACGCCGTCAATGCATCCGTATTGAAGACACTTATTCCTCGTGGTGTTCTCTGGATGCAGGCGTACCACAAGGTGGCGTGTTGTCTCCTCTCCTCTTTTCAATTTTCATACGCTCTATCACTTCAGGAATAACTTCTCTCTACCATCTTTATGCAGACGATCTCCAAATATATTCTCAAACAAGTATCAATAATCTTCCATCTGCCGTGCTATCCACAAATCGTGATCTCGCTATTATTTCAGAATTTTGTACATCTTATGGAATTAAGGTTAACCCTAGTAAAACGCAGGTAATAGTGATAGGTAGCAACAAACTACTACAAAAAATTACTTGGCATACACTGCCTTTCGTTTGTTTTGAAAATTCTGCTATTCCTTACAGTAAGGTTGTAAAAAACCTAGGGATTCTAATTGACAGTACAATGTCTTGGGCACCACAAATTGAACAAATAAGTAAGAAAATGTTTGCAGCTTGTGGAAGTCTCAAAAGACTTCGAAATTTCTTACCCATTTCTACCAAAATTGCGTTAGCACATTCCATTTTGTTGCCTATTTTAGACTATGCTGATATATGCTACACTGATATTACCATGGAGCAATTAAACAAGCTTGAGCGTCTTCAAAATCTTTCCATTCGGTTCATATTTGGCTTACGCAAATATGACCATGTATCCCAATTTCGAAAACAACTCAAGTGGCTCCCAATTCACCTTCGCCGGAATGTTCATTTACTTTCTTTACTTTTTTGTGTTCTGTTTGATCCGAAATCTCCAAGGTACCTTAAGGAACAATTTCACTATCGATATGAATTTCATGATCGTAGTTTGCGTTCAGTGTATAGCTTGACTTTGAACACTCCTTACAGCGTAACTTCTTTCTATAATAAGTCATTTACTTCACAAGCAACCAGACTCTGGAATTCATTACCACTTAACATCAAGCAAGCGCAATCTTTACAGACTTTGAAAAAACAACTGAAGGAGTATTATTTGAATTTCCCGTCATAATTATAAATTATAT